ATGAAGCTTCAACCTTTGCCTTGTGAACCTTGCTTGAGCACGCACCCTTGAAGTAGTAGAGCCCTTCGCGTAGTTCACCCGCACCAATCACCATCCTCGAAAGGTGGTCCTGTACAACACAAAACTTATTAGTGAATTGGATATTACAATTTGACTCCTCTAGTAATTGCGACACAGATATCAGGTTACAATTCAAACGAGGAACATAAAGCACATTAGTAAGCTTCATGTGCTTATTTAAAATGACTGTCCCTTTCTTTATTGCCATGACATGCTTTCCATCGGGCAATCCAACCGGACAACCAGTCACGGTCTCGGTATCATGCAGGTGGTTCAAGTTCCCAATTATATGGTGTGAAGCTCTTGTGTCAATTATCCAATTCATACCTGTCAACTTCTCATTTGTGCTGGGTTTGCAAAAATTCAAGAGATTAAGAAAAGTGGACCATTGTTAATTAGTCAATCCACTGAATGTTGCACGATCTCCCTCTGTCGCGTGGATTGGTTCAGAAGTTTGCCCTACCGCTTGTGCAGCATTTGCCCTCTGTACGCCTCCACGTCCACGACCATTTTTGCCTTGTGTTCCTCGGCCTCGTGTTTTCCCACCTCCAGTAGATCTCGGCCGGTCTCCCCACCAGTCCAGGTAGCCAATGAGTTGAAAACAACTCTCAGTTTCATGTCCTGTTCGTCTGCAGTTCGTGCACACTCCAGATTTTTCTTTTGTGTCATGTCCCGTTCTTTTTGTTTCAACTTGCATTTGCACAGCAAAGCTCATCACCTCCCTTTTTTCTTCTTTGTCGTGGGTCATGGCTCTCAGACGCTCTTCTTGTATCACCGTGGCATAGGCTTTGTTTAAGTTTGGCAGCGGATCGGTGCCTAGAATATTGGAACGCACTGTTCCATATATTGCATCGTCCAAGCCCATCAGAAATTGATGGACTCTCTCTTCTTCTCGTCTCTTCTCCAACTTCGCAGCGATGTTGCAGTTGCAGCCTGCACAAATGCATGTCGGAATTTATTCATAATTAGCGAGTTCTTCCCATATCTGTTTTAGTTTGCCATAATAAGTCACGATTGGGAGGCTAGCCTGTTTGCTGTTCGCGAGATCTGCTTTGAGTTGCTGTATTCTTAGCCCATTGCCCACTGAAAACCGCTCTTTGATGTCATTCCACAGGTCTTTCATAACCTCCATATACGTGATTGTAGAACGCAGGCTTGGCTCTATCATGTTGAGGATCCATGAAACCAGCATGGAGTTTACAGTCCACCAGTCTTCCAATTCCGGTGAATCATCTGTGGGTTGAGATATAGACCCATCGATAAAGCCAATCTTCTTCTTGGCTCGGAGCGCCATCCACATTGCTCGAGCCCATTCTTCGTAATTGTCTCCTTTCAGTTGAACTTGGGTAATTATATTACCCGGGTTGTCGTTGACAGTCAAGCAGTATGGTGAAACTATCTTCCTGCTTCTGCCCTCACCTTCATTCTTCTTCTCTTTTCCATCCGCCATTATCAATCAACCAGAGCCTGAATCGAGCTCTGATACCATGTGAAACTTTCAGACGAAGGAGAAAGATAATGGAGAACCCTTTTCTGCTTCTGTATTACACCCAACAATATACATATATATGAAGTTCCCTTGCGAAGAAATCGGCTAACCATTAGGAAGAATTACAATTACAATTAAGAACCTAATCACTGACTCCTGACTCCTAAAAGAATATGAAAAACCAAGATGATAACTAAAATACATACAGCTCATATACGATAAGGCTCAATAATTTATGATCTTATTGCATCTGTCAGTTACTTTTATGATCAGGGGTATAAAAATTTGCATCAATATCGAAATGATCGAGTAACAATGAATATGATGGAATTGGAGCTCGTCCCCTGTCATTATACTATTATAGCACCCAGAATTCAGATCGCTGTTCACAATACTTGATTGGCTTTAACTTTCCCAAAGGAAGTTGGTAACATGCTTGGCATATGGCTGTCAACCACAGCCAAAGTTCCTATTTGGCACACCGTAACACATTGGCTGATAGATGGCAAATTAAGCAATAATAAAACCACAAACAAATTAAACAAATTAAGCAATTCAACAAGCCCACATAAGAGAAGAAAAAATTATTAACCCAGAAACAAATTAACCCAGAAATGATTTTAAATAAGAAAAGAAAAAAAAACGCAGAAATGATTTTACATAAGAGAAAAAAATTAACCCATAAATGATTTTATTATTGTTCTGTTCTAAAATATGCCGAAGTAAAATGTAACCGTTGCAAATGAAGTCGTTGATGCCTTAAAACCACTGCTGATGAAAATCGTTGTAGATGAGTCCGTAGAAGCACAAAATTGCAGATGAAACCGTTGATGTCTTTTGCCTTTTGGGGTTTCAGTTGCAGATGAACCACCGCAGGGAGAAAAGCACTAAACCTCTGTCGTCGGTCGCCGGAAGAAGCTTGCCTTCGCCGGTGATGCCTTTGCCTTTTGGGGTTTCAGTTGCAAATGAACCACCGCAAGGAGAGAAACACTAAATCTCTGTCACCGGTCACCGGAAGAAACTTGCCTTCACTGGTGATGCCTTTTGCCTTCACCGGTTGGAGAGGATAACAGAACGAAGAAAATGAAAGGTTTACCATCCCCGCACGAATGAAGAATGCATACGTGCTTATAGACGCGTGTCATCCTCTCATAATGTTCGAACAATATTCAAACCCATCACGCTTTGACTAAAGCCAAATCAGCTCTAGGTAGAACCAGTCTCAAACAATTATTAATTATATTGAGACAAAAATAAAATCACAGACCCAGAACCAGCCAAATTAATAATTGGGTCTATCGGGTCTGCACGACCCAATCACACTGAAAGGTATATTTGTTTATTTAAATAATAACTTAAATTTGAATTTTGATAGTATAAGATTAATAAAAATAATAAAAAATTACCAAACTATTTATATGTTTATAAATTAAACATTTTTAATTAATACTAATTTATATATTAATTATCAAATTTACCATTTCAAATATAAAATATGCTAAAATTATAAGAAAATTAAGAAAAGATTATATATATTTAATGAAATAATCAGGTGGTTGTCAATGAATTTTATAAAAAAAAGTTATATATCTGAATCTCCAGGCCAAATTTCTTTCAGGTAAGGCGTCAAAAAAATTCATTTCAGGTGGGTACCAATGAATTTTATAAAAATAAAAAATAAAAAAAGTTCTATATCTGAACCTCCGGGCCAAATTCTGTATTATAGAAATTTTGATATGTCAAACAAATAGGGTTTCTTGTGTTTATGGATTCCATGAAGCTCTATGAGACATTAACTTAGGTTGTGTTTGGGTAAGCAACAAAGTTTGTGCTTTGGGGTAAAATGCTTTGACTTTAAATTGTGATGCTTTTAAAATCAACTCTTACCAAATGATCAAAACACTTGTAGGCTCATGGCTCATGTTTGTTTCTCACAGTCCAAAGCTCAAAAGCTAAATCTTATCCAAAAGGAGCCTTAATTTTTTAAGATAAGGTAAGAATTGACTTTCTTCTTAGGCCCTATTCGATTTTGGGATTTTGAGGAGTGGTTGAATGTGGAATACACAACAATTTTGATTTCCCCAGGCATCACTTACCTAGGAAAGTCGTACCCTTCTCAAATTTGGGTAAGTTGAATTTCCCAAGTAGAGGGTAAATAAAATGATCAAAAATGCTCCCACAAAATATATTTACTCAGATAAGTTAAACAAAAAGAACATAGATAAATGCATTTACCTCAGAAAATAAGTTCTTTAGGCTGCATTTGGAAATGAAGCAAATATGTAGTGTAAAACGATTCATATAAATTGTAAAATTGGATTAGTTTTGCACTAACAAATTTACCTTCTTACCAAACAGACTTTTAACTATAATGAATGCAAACATGAATTCCAATAAAATATATGCTTTTTTTATCAAAACCAAAAACCCACTTGAATGCAAATTTACTTCTACTTTTACATCTTATTATCAATATAAATATGCATTGGCCTGTCATTTATCAATGCATAAATGTAATGTTGCCATACAAAGGCAAAAATTAACCAGAGTGCAAATTTACCCAGAATCGGGATTTACACTCCATTTGCATCATTTCCAAACACAACCTTAAGTTTGGAAGGAGTACAATGCTCTCATTGTCAACCACCTCCCCATTGGTCCACATTCAAATCACTCACCCCAAGACCCCCCCCCCCCTGCTGCAGCAACGTTATTTATTTGCCCAGGCATACCAAATTCCCCGATGATCGACATTACTCAACACCTGGCCTAAATTCCAATTTTAGTGGAGCCAAGTTCTCCATGTAGCAAGAGAAGCAAACCTGTAAACCGTGAGTTAGCTCAAATTGAACTCTTAACTTGTCAATCCATGAGTCCATGGAAATTGACTGATGAACCACCCCTACCCCTTAGACATGGAAAAATTTTACTTGCCAGCAATACCAACCCATCAAGCTACTAGTGAATCAGGCCAGAAGGAAGTTACAAGAACATGAGAAACCAATAGAGTGCCGATTTCAAGACCGTTCAAATGGTAATGGCGTGATTTTAGGACCAAGTATCTAGTGGTCGGAACTGAAAGTGCAGCTAGACAAGTTGGACCCACAACACAGTAATCGTTGTTCTCCATTGTTCATGCTCATTCACTTTGTATATAAATATGTAATACAATAAACACTAAACAAACTCATTAGCATATATTAAAATCATTTGATTTTATTGCAGTACTACATAATAAAATGATCCAGACCACCAACCCCTTGAGTATAGATTTGTAGTCTCAGATTATTCTGCCAATAACCATTTGACTAGTTTTTTAATTGAGCCTGATTCATCTGTAGCAATGATAAGTTACCCAACCAGTACATGGCAACTCTCAGCTATTCAGAGAGCTCATCTGAGTCGAAAACACGGTTGTGGCAAGATTTGTCGCAAGGATATGGACAATCAATCTTCTGGAAACCACTCCTGTCAAAATACCAGTCTCCCACTGCCTTGGAAATTGACTGCAAAACATAAATTATGGCACAATTCAAAATGAGAGTTCTGTAAGGGAAAAGTTCTGCAAAACAGCAATGAATTTATGAAAGAGAGATCTAGACCAACCGTTTTATCAAGAACAGGGGAGTCATCCCTCAACCATGTCTCCTGTGTTCCTGTTTGGCAATGGGAATAGCAAGAATTTATGAACAGGGCCTTTGTGGGAGAGCCCATCAATCTTGTCAATGTACTTAGAAACTCCATCCTAAAACCTGTCAAGTCATGTACTCATTGAGTTGCTTCAAAAATGGAGAAACATATTTATCAACAACCAGCCCAAATGAGATAGATTATCAAACAGGTGGTTCCACTAAAATAAGAAATCATTAAATCAAAATACTTGTTATCCATCTTTTGAGTAAATAGCACCAAATATCATTGTTTTAAAAGGCTCAAGGCATAGTTGAGATGTAGTGGCTCAAAAAGGTTGGAAATAGGCAGCCTCAAAAATTAAATAAAAAAGATTAATTAAAGTTTATAAATAATAAAAAGAACATATGATAAATTAAGATAGAATGATAGTATTTACAAGCATCCATAAAATATAAGAAGCAAATTAGCATTTATCAAAATAAGCCTTTTATTAGTTATATTTCAAGTTTCAAAATCCAAAATTCTCAAATTGGTCAAACGACCAATCATGTATTTTAGATTATCAAAAATCCCCCATCATCAAAGTTTGTTTCACTAATGAGACCTTCTAATGGATCATCCATATAATTGATACCATATTTCTGGTTACCCAATATCTTAGAATAAAGGAAACAACTTGGTTTAATCTATGCAAACAAAACCAATAAAAAGGAAACAACTTGAGGCAAAATCTGAGTGCCTTGCCTAAAGGTGTAAGCCTCACACCTCAACACTTAAGCCTTTCAAAACCATGCCAAATACAACCCCCTTCTTCTAGACAGTTATGTTCCCTCCATGATTTTCTAGTTACAAAACCACCAGCTTAACATATATTTGCTATAATAATAATAAAAGCTATCAAGATATTCATGTCTGAACCTACTACCAAATTATTAAAGAAACAACCATAACAACAATTCTGAGAATAGCTTTTCTGATTCAGGGGCCCTTATTCCATGATTGTAATCAAAATTGGAATACAATGAGGGTTAAAGTGACCTTGCATGATTTGAAGTTGACTGGATGAACACTTAGTTATATCAAGCTTGCAGTCGTGCCAAGTGCCATGGGGATCAGCAACACCAGGTGCCAAAATGTTCTTTACCTGGAATTAAAATAAGCAGTAATAACTCAAAACTAAGTTGGGAAGAATATCAAACAATGATGTCAGATATTGTATGTACTATGGCTGGATGTAGTACATGTAACACAACTGGGAGAACCTTACCTGCCATGAATCATAAGCTGCGTTCAATATAAAAAGTGGTGTGCTGATCTGTGGTGCCACATATTGGGGGAAAAAACACTGTGATTGTGTTCAGATGCATCAGTAGGATTGAAACTGCAGTATAAACTTAGAAAAAAAAAAGACATACTAATTATTAATTAATGAAATGCCGTCAGAATAAACATACTTACCAAACCCGGATTAAATCTTGAAGTGCAGGATGCAGGCAAATTCTTTGCTGATTGCTATGAAAGATAATAGAAAAAAGTCAGTATTGACAGTTATAGTATCCTTATAAAGTGGCCCCTCCCTTCTTCTCAAATGACTAAACTATTACACAGTGTATAGGTCCAAGAAGAAGATGGAGATATAAGAGAAAACATATTTGCTGGACAAGATCCTTCCTGGCATTCTGTAATTTTTTTTTCATTTGATAAATGATGGCATTCTGTAAAATTTTCTTTCTTTTTCTTTTTTATCTTCTCTAGACTTGTAAAGTAAGGAAGGGGATTCAAAGAATGGAAGGAGAATGGTAAGTAGTCCACAAGACACAACATCCACAAGTGCAAGATGAATCCCATAAAAAAAAAAAAAAAAAAAAAAAAACAACCATTTTAATTGACACGAAAGATAAAAGAGAAGAAACATACATGGGTTGCCACCACATCATTATAGAAGGCTTGTATGTGGCTTGTTCCAGCAACAGACTTCCTGTTATGAAGCATGACCATTGGTGTTAGGCAAGAGTTTGATGGTACCTTTTCATTATACTTTCTGAAAGTAACAACATAATATAAGTAATAGAGTAAGAAGGTCCTAGTTATGAGCTTACGCATTGATAAAAAACCCAGCATCAGCCATGCATTTTACTTTGGTACTCGCAGGTAGAAGTGTACGGAACCTATCGCAATGGAGAATGGCAGTTAAACCACCAGCCGAACAACCCGTAAGAAGAGCCTGTAAGCAATTTCTTAAGTTATTAAGACCAATGGTAGTAATGTACTATAAGGAAATTAAAGATGATGGAGAGTTCAAATTTGTCATACATTTTTGGCATTTTTCATCCCTTTCGCTAGAAGGTCCTCTATAACAGCAAGAAAAATTCTTTGCCCTCTGAAGTGCAGGTTGGTCGCCTGGTCAGGTTGATTGACATCAAATCAAAGTAAATATATGTTGCTTTTACTTTTTTTCCTCATGAAATTGAAGTCACAAATGCAATCAATATCAAAGGACCCACCGGATTTACTGCTTCCACATCTCCAGTGAATGATGATCCATCACAGTATCGAACCTTGATCTTGTTCCAGTTATAGAAATCTGGATAGTGAAATACAGACCAAAGTCAGCTCGTAGGAAAAGATAGATAGCAAATATTAGCAGATATTGAAAATTGAAGCAGAACAGGGTTAAACCAATAAACTGGAAATCCTACCTGGGTTAAATTTTTCCTTGTTGCTCAGAATTCCAGAGAACGAAACTTCCTTGGTCATTTGTTTAGAAGATCCTAAACGAGTGTTCTTGCGGGCAAGGCAACTCGTGACATTGTTACACCATGATCCTCCCTAAGAAGGTAAGAAAGCATTAAAAAGGAAAGAAAAGAAAATAAAAAGACCCATAAAGCAACAACTTGCACCATTTCTTACCAACAGTGTGGAGAATAGAAATAAAAGGATTTCATATATATATATATATAAACAAATGATTAGATGGCTTATAAAGATAAGTCGGCAACAGTGACCAACCTGCAGGAAGTATTATTTTAGATACAGTTAAATGGCAACACTTGTGATTTAATGTCTCTAATGGCTTGCAGTGATTTCACTCAAATATGATAAAACCTTAGTGTCAACCAAGGGTTAGTATCCTTGATGGTACTAAGTCAAACTCTCAGAAGGAACCAGGCTTTATGATGCCGAATCCAGTTACACAAGGTATATACAATCTCAGACTATTGCCTGGACCAACCAAATCAGAGTATTCTAGAATTCATTTGAACTTAACCATCATTTAACATTCTTAAATCATTTCTAATGTGTATCAGCTACTGGTGGTTGACCCTTAGAATAGAAGCATTCTCTTTTCCAATCAAAATTTTTATACTATGGAATAAAGAGAACATTTCAAAAAAGGAGGAAATATATTAAGTGCATACATCTCCCAGAAAGGACTAACCTCAAAGAAAACCAGCCAATTGTTAACTCCAGCACCAAATCCTGGAGACATGTGGTATGCTGGTGGGCTCCCATCCAAGCAAACTGCATGACATTTGGAATTTCAAAATGTATAAAATCATTAAGAATTTAAGACTATATGATGCGACTGTCTTTGATCCTATAACAAGTCCAACTTTTATATCTAGTCATTATCTTCAGACAAAATCCTTACCAGCTCCCTTTGCTACAGCACTTTGAAGATAAGTAATCCCCACATTGAATCCATTTGCTCCCAGTGTGACCAGCGTCCAGATTAGAAAATATAGTGATACACCTGATCCTTTGTTACCCATTCTGTGCATGACAATCACTGCCAAGACAGGGCAAAATACTACAAAACAAAGAGTTTACAAATTTCAGTTATGAAGCTGTATGTTTAAACTGATCGTATATACTCTAGATATTATCAATGAAGACAGTAAAGTGTCAAACTTTTTCATACCAACAAACAACTAATAATGAAACAGCATTAAAAATAGAAGATTGAGATAAAACCATATGTTCCAAGAAAAACATTTCTAATATGGAGATTAAACAGATCTATTCCCCCCTATCATTGTCCCCCATTATGAGTTGCATAAAATTAATACCCAACTGCATTCAACCCAATCCCTCTGTAATTTAGCAGTCAACATGGAATCCAAATCTCTCCCCTTAAAGCATCAAGAAAATTACAAAAAAAAATTGGGGGGACAAGACGACAACTCAATACCCAGAATACAAGATTTCTTATGATGCTTCCTGCTAAAGTATAGGTAAGAACCAGAGTAAACATCTTTCAACAAATACATAGTTCTCCAACAATTGTCCATAAATATATCCAGAAAGAGGACATCTACAATTACAATATGCATCCTATAGCAAATCAAAATACACTCGAATTCCATAATGTAACATAAAATGCATTTTCCCTAGCAACCCAGAAAAATCCACTTTGCTTTTCGCATTTAAAAATCTATAACCGACATGCTTGACAAGCTTATTGAATTTATCTTGATAAAATGCACTACAATAGCCCAAAGGAAATCAAACCATTAGTCCTTAATTGACACAAAATAGCAGAAAAAAATATCAAAACACTACTACCTATAACAGAACCAAAGATACACTGGAACTCCTTATAAACAAACAGTGCATACATTCTAACAAACCATGAAAAATCAGATTACTCATCCTACAGAAAACTGGAGATCCTTCTGTTTTCTAACCCAGCAACCGATGAAATGCTATACAAGTTTATCCAATATACCTCCATGATCAACATTCTTCCATTTCCCCCAAAGAACTACCAAAACTCAGATGACCCATCTTATAAACAAATTCAAATTCCATTTTTTTCTCAGTCGGAAACTGATCTAACAACAAGTTTGCTCAATTTATCTCAATAAAGCACCAAAAATGCAAACAAAGAAATAAAGTTAAAATCATTATCTCTACCTGAAACCAGAGAATAGAGATGTGCTCCAGAAGCAACAATCACAGAGCAGGTCCCCTCCTGAAGAGCTAAATCTGAGTATCTTACACTATACCCACTTCACTAATTCATTTTTTTCACTTCAAATCATCTGATGACCCACTAAACCGACTTGCTCTGTACCGTGAGAGGGAGGGCACCGTTTCTTATAGCTTAGCTCCCAGCAGAGAACACAAGAACAGACACTTGACTTATTCACTTCTATTTCTTGGATAAGCTCACGTACTAATTAGTAATTACCAAGCAAATTAACACGCCCCAACAAATCTTATCATCCTACGCGTCTGCATTGAATGGCATACAACACAGAGGGAGACAGAGAGATCAATATTTGGCAATGGCAGAAATCCTCGTTTTCTAAGTACTAGATTTTACAGCTTTGGTGATATCCACCGTGAAAAGTAGCATCTCCTCAACTGTTGAGTAGAACAAAGACCACATGCCGCTCCGTTATTAGTATTGTCTCCTTCCCCAGTTGGTTTATCCATCTTCTCATCTTCACGTGCAGACAGACTGGACTGCAACAAAGTCACTAGATCTTTTACAGGCTCATTCACTTCTTTCTCCACTCACTGTGGGTTGAGGGCCTCTTGATTTCTCTATTCACAGTATCCACTGCCCTCTGATTTCCTTCCCTGAAATGACACATGTATCCTTCTTTCAATTTCAATCTAGTTTGAAATTTTGAATTTGTGACAGTCTGTCATACTTTTGAAGAAGAACAATACAAATAACAGAGCAATAAAAAACTTTTTTCTTTCCTGTACAGTGAAAAAGATTTTCAAAAGAAGTGAATAGCATCAATTGAGCTTAGCTGCCCAGGAGACCCCACTTCATAGTTCATCGTTCAGACTCCTTTTGTAGCAAGTTCTCCACCAATGTGCTGTCAAGCAGCACAAACAGCAGGCGCCTTTATTGACCCAAGTACTCTTTCAATGGATGCATTCGACAAAAGTACCTTGAATGGCAGCCCATCCGAGGTAAATACGATTATTTCGGATTTGGATGATGTTTGTTTAATCTGATCGGTTTTTGAATTTTAAAATGATTAATAATTAGATCGGATTGGGTTTGATTCAATTAATAATATCATATTGCATTTGGTTTGATTCGATCTTATTAAAATTTGAATTTGATTATATTATAATATTTATTAATTTTAATATATAAATTTTATATAATCATATTTAAAATTATAAAATAATATATTCTTATATATTATATTATATAGGATAAATTGTTGAAACTTCTAAAGTTTTTGAAACCTCCATGAGAAGTTGGTAAATGTAATTATCTTTTTTTAACTTTCTAATATAGTTGCAAGTAGAACCCCTTTGTTAGAATCCTTTAAGAAGATGCATGAAAATATTTAAAATACTTGTACAATTATCATTGAGGTTAGTTTCTACAAGGAGAAAAAAGCAATACTCCATGAACAACAATAACAAAAAAAAAGAAAAGAATTTAAAGTTTTTTCTTCATGAGGCTACACAACTAGGGGTAATCCATCCCCATCCTGCTAAACCTCTCAACATTAGTGGCAACGGGATTTGATCCTAGGGTCTCTACTAAAATGAATCAGAGATTCTACCAATTAAGCCACCATTAATTGGTAAAAAGAACTTAAAGTTACAGCTTTATCTTTGAGTGATTGATATGAAGGGAAAATTTGTTTATAAATCAATTTCAGAAAAAAAAAATTAGAAGAATTTGGAATAGCAATTCATATGAAAAGAAAATTTGAAAAATAATTATTTTGATCAAAATTAACTGTATGAGTGTTTTGGATATTTTATCTTTTATATTTTAAAATGGAGTTGGATTAAATGTGAATACCATCAAAATTTGTTAGGATTCGAATTTGAACCCAAGGTTTTCAAATCCAATCAGATTTGAGATTGGACTTAGCATACAAGTTTTCTATAAGATCGGATTTGGATTTTGGTGAATCTAATCCAAATCAGATCCGATTACAGCCCCAGTGGCAGCCACCGGAATGTCCTCGGTAATTTCCATGGCTCAAAATTCAAATATAGCTGCCCCAAAACTCTTTGATGAAATTCAATAGATGGAGTAAGGTTGCTTTTTTGAGTTGAATTGTCCTTGTCTTTCAAGTCTCAACCATGGTAGAACCAAAAAATAAAAATAAAAATAAAAATTAATTGAATCCATCTTCAGCAGTTTCAAATCCCAAAACAAACTATGTTCCAAAATTTGGATTTCACCCAAGCAAGCTTTTCTGAAGAATCATCTAGCAGGAATATGCAGATGAGATTGATACAGTTCTAGATGAAAGATTAGGTGCTATCCCCCAAAAAAAAAAAAAAATCTCCACATTTGGTACCCTTACACTAGTCCTTGTGTTAAGGTTTGATAAAGAGAAGCATCCAATGTTGAGTAACAGGTGTGATGTGAAGAGGACCTTGAGCTCCTCACAAATGCAAAGGAGTCACCCATCTGATTGTTGGGTCTTAAATTGGACAAAGCATCTCTCCAAGTTCATCCCTTGCACATGGATACAGTGTAGGAAGGCATGGAGAGAATGGAATAAGAAAGAAAGAAACCAAAAAAAAAAAAAGTGAACTTTGAAAAGGACTAGCACTAAATGAGTGAACTGACATATCTGAGGGAGAGCTGCCTGTCTGATATGGATGATGATATGGGTTTTTCATCCCTTCACATTAACTGACATAGACTATCCACCTTCCACCTAAATAAGACTTTGTTGTGTAGTCCTTAAAATGATTTCCTCTATAGGAAACATAATTTTTTGCTACATTTCGGCTTTTCTGTTTCTTCTTCAGTTCTCTCTCTTGTGGTAAAAAATGAAGTCCCAAGGAAGGACATGAAGGTTATTATAAACAAATCAATGCTAATGATGAAGGTTAACGTACTGCTTAGAGGTTAAGAGGTATATAGGAATAAAAACTTTTCTTCTATTAAAAAAAAAACTTTATCTTCCATAACCTTTTAGGCTGTATTTGCCCTTTGCCTTGAAAGAAAAATAGAGAATCAGAAAGTTGAGAGAAAGTTCATAAAAATAAAACAATGGCCCCCCGTTGTGTGTAGTACACTTTTGTTACATTCACAAAAAAAGAGAGTTCATAAGGCTGGTTTGAAAGGAATGAATACAAATACTTGGAGTGCAAAACCTTATATTTTGTATTATTTTGTATGTATTTATACTGTATATATTTGTATTTGTATTTGTACTATATCCAAAATGAGACTAAAGTGTTTTATGCAGTATAACAGTCGAGTTCGGCTTCTATCAGAGCAAGTCAGTGCTCACATCCTTTGAGCAGCCCCTTGCAATCTTGCATTGGGAATATCTCCCATGAAATAAATCACCTAATTACGGAGATATTCCCAACGCAAGGATGTAAAGGCTGTTGGAACGGGCTTTTCATAACAGTCATGGTTCCTGACCGTCATAAAGACATAAACCAACCAACCAACCATATGGAAAACTGGGGACAATAAAGACCCGGTTCTCACAAAGTACAAGGTCTAATAGTAGATTTTATATGTGGGGCTGCATTTGGTTGGGGACAATAAATGATTTTCTTGAAATCTGACATTTCATTATAAAATGAATGGTCATTTACTAAAACACCCCCTATAGTTTCATGAATTTACAAAAACCTATCCTATAATTTATACTTTCTTAAAACATCCCTTATAATTTGTAATCAATTTACTTAATGAACCTTCCAATAGATGAAAGTGGAAAATGACAGTTTTAACACTAATATCCATTTAAATAAATTTAATCAAAATAAACTAAAAATAAAAATATCATTTTTGCCCCTAATAAAACACAAACAACCACTCTATTTTTTCTCTCTAATTGTCAATTTTGTTTTCTATACAAAGAAACATTAGGGATATTTTTGGAATAAACAATCTTGGATCCATACCCTTGAACATTTTCCACTCAGTTTAGAGTTACTTTGGGAATAAACAACCATGGGTCCATGCGCTTAAACATTTTTCAGTCAGTTTAGGTGATCATGTTACTATTTTCATATGGCAAAACAAATAGTTCTTGAAAGGTTGGTTAAGTAAATATATAGGTTGCAAACTATAAGGGATGTTTTAAAAAAATGCAAACTATAGGATAGGTTTAAGTAAATATGTGAAACTATAAGGGGTGTTCTGGTAAATGGCTCAAAAATGAATCATAAATTCATATTCCTATTTGTTTCTAGGTATTTTGTTTAATTTGAAAAACAAATTATCTTAAATAGTTATTATGAGTGTTGTAAGATATTAGTGAATATACCTACATGTTCATGGGTCGGGTAGCCCGGCCAGCTTGGACTCAAGCATATTTTACAGGCTCAGGCTTTTTAAATAAGCATGGTTCTAGCCCAAGTCCCACTTGATGATATTATAAATAATAAAAAATATATATTAGTAATAGATATTAGATAATAGCTTATATTCTGTATGTATATATGTATGTATGTGTGTGTGTGTGTGTGTGTGTGTGTTTTCTATTGTTTGAACTTAAGTATTGATGCTCTGGCTACTCCTAACTGGAGATGATTTGGCTTCCATTAGACAGCGGACACAGTGAATCTGCACAGAAAGAATCAGAGAACCCGGGGGTGCTTACCCAGCGAGGTCGCTCCGATGCTTAAGTCACTAACTTGCGAGCTAGAGGTAATTTAGAAAGCTAGAGAGCTAGTGAGCAGTGATTACGCGTACCTTTGTCCCCAAAGAGTTGGGGTCTTTATATACTGGAGTCCGCGTGGTTTTTTTGGGGTGGTTCCGGGATCCTTGCCGTGATGAGGCCCGTTACCGAACTAATAGGAGATAACGTCGCCAGCCGATAAGGCATATCGCTACTGTCCGAATCGGTCGGAGGAGATAAGGCCAGCTGTTACGAGGCGTGATCCCATGAAATGTGGAATCCGGTGACGAGATCTTCAGGGTTATCCTGTGGAAGCCGGTCAATATTATCCGAACTGATGCCCCCCGGGTCTGACCTGTTACGAATGCCGAGGTGCCTGGTAACCGAGGTGATCTTAATGCCATCGTGCCCCGAAGTGAACTTATCCCAAGGTGGATTCACTTCTGAGGTGGGCCTACCCCGAGGTGGTTTGGTTATCCGAGCTCGTGTCCACGTGCCCCTCTATTATTAGGTCAGACCAAATCACCCTACATCAATTGCCCCCACTCCCCGGGCCAGGGGTTCTGACCTGGTGCGGGGAGTTCATGACGAGCCAAGTGGATTTGGTCCGTGGACCGGGCAGCTAGTCAGATACCTTTTAAGCTCATCGAAGGCGAGCTGACACTCTTTGGTCCATTCAAAGTCTTTGCTCTTTTTAATCGCCTTGAAGAAAGGCAGGCAGCGATCTGCCGACTTAGACATGAAGCGGCTTAGAGCAGCTATACGGCCGTTCAACCTCTAAACCTCCTTCAATTTACGGGGCGGTCTCATATCTAGGATGGCCTTAATTTTGTCGGGATTGGCTTTGATACCACGCCGGTTAACGATGTAACCCAGGAATTTACCCGAGGTGACACCGAAGACACATTTATTAGGGTTTAATTTCATATTAAACTTGCGCAAAATTTCGAAAACACAATGTAAGTCTTT